ATCAAAATCTGAAAAAAGAAAGATGTATGTTTCTTTCATTAAAAATTCAAAACAGACATTGTATTACTTATTTTTCATTTACTTAATAATTATTATTTGGCTGCCATATATTAGCACCATACAATCCTTATATTTTGGACTCATCAACCTGTTAAATTGTGTTAGTTTTGAAAATTAAAAAATGTAATTCAAGGCCGGGCGCGGTGGCTCAAGCCTGTAATCCCAGCACTTTGGGAGGCCGAGACGGGCGGATCACGAGGTCAGGAGATCGAGACCATCCTGGCTAACACGGTGAAACCTCGTCTCTACTAAAAAATACAAAAAACTAGCCGGACGAGGTGGCGGGCGCCTGTAGTCCCAGCTACTCGGGAGGCTGAGGCAGGAGAATGGCGTAAACCCGGGAGGCGGAGCTTGCAGTGAGCTGAGATCCGGCCACTGCACTCCAGCCTGGGCGACAGAGCCAGACTCCGTCTCAAAAAAAAAAAAAAAAAAAAAAAAAATGTAATTCAAGGCAGAAACAAGTTAAAATAATAAAAACTAATAGTCCTCTCTATTCAAGGCTGTTTCCAATTTTGAAAAATAATTTGTTTCTTATTATTTTGTTCCATTCATAATATCTAGTTTCTGCTGCGTGAACTATTATCCCCAAATAGTCTTAATTTAAAAATTTTGTTTTACAATTCAAATTATCATACAACTCTGAAAAATATTTGCATGTCTGAGTATACTACACTTCAAGTTTAGATCCCAAGAAATATATACTGCAACGAACACTAGAAAGGAGCTAAGACTTTGAATTTAGCTGGAGTTTATATGATCCTACTCATGTAAAATGAAGCATAATATTCTATAATTAATACATTTTAGTTATAGAGATTCCCTAAAGTATTATTTTCATGTATAATTATGATATCTAACACAAAATATACAGAATTCATCTAATTTTCCTTAGTTTAAATATACAATGATTTTCTTTGCAGAAACATTGACATTTGCTCTTTTATTAAGAAATACGATTGTTTTCTGTAAAAGTAAGAAGTGCTAGAAAATTATGTTGCAAATGGTTAAACTGTTTCTTCAGTTGGCTTCTCATTTCTTCTCAATATACAGGAGATCTCTTCTGTCTATGAAATTACATTGATTTCATTAGTGAAAGATGAAGTTGCTGCTTATTTTTAGGTTAAATGAAAAAATTCTGGTCTAAATATGACTCTAAATCATAAATTATTTCAATAATCATTAATTCAGTAGTCTCCATAGAACCGTGACTTACAATTTACCTAGGTTCAATAGAGACTACTGAAGATGTGAATGACACATCCTTGCGATGGAAGAGGTTACAGTTTCATTTGGGAAGCAAGTATGTAGACAACTAAAGACTACCAGGAATACAAATATAGGTAAGATCCTTAATTCAACTAAAAAAGCATATGAAAAATAAACGGTAATTAACGCACAGTTAGAAAGCAGTTGGGGGGTTGACTTTTGAACACTGTCAATGAGTCTGTTAATGTTAATTGTACCTGCATTTCCAAAATTTCTTAGATTTATTCAGATATGTAATACCAAAAATAAAGATAAAATTAAGCTAAAATGTCAGTAGGGAAACAATGATACGCAAGTTAATTTTTAGAATTCTCTTTCTGCTTTGGTTCATTCAATCATTGTCAAGCAACATTATTTGTTTCTCCCAGAAAACTCACATTTAGCCTAGTGTCCCCATGAAATATGTGATTAAAACTATCTTCCTGAATAACATTAGCACCATTAAACCACAATTATTTCACCTATCATACAGAAGCCCAGAATTACTAAACTGAGTTATAATTCTTAAATCACATTAATTCAGGAAGATTTTAGTGCCTGCTTGTTTAACACAATCTTATAAATGATCCCTTAGAAAGGATGTAAAAATCCACACATATCTTAATGGGCTAATTGTGCTCACTACAGTGTTGAGTCTATAAAAGCTTTTCAAAAGTGAGAGAAATGATGGCATTTTTATCTTAAATTGCAAACATAATTGCTCTTATAAATATCTTTTTGTTTCTAACTTAAGTGCTATTGACAGTAGAAATTTCCCCAAAACACTAATAGAGTATTTAACATAATTTCATTTATTGAAAAAAAAATCCAAGGGAAAATAACATACAGCTATCTGAAACTATTTAGCAGGAGGAAAATATCAAAAGGAAAATGAAATTAAATCTAAACTTTGAGATTTGAAATGAAACTAATATTCAATATAAATTTAATACAATGTATATTTGATTAAACTTACACATTTAAATATATTGATGAAACTCAAGAAATAAAAATGACATCCTGGAAACCCAGGACAACAATTAAGATCCATACAAAAACGAACTGAAACTAACAAGCTAATCCCTATTTTATAGAATTTCCCATTGTTTTATTGAAAAATAAGAATACATTTTAGCTCAACTCATGGAAAGTTAGTACAATTGAAACTAAATTCAATCAGTTGTAAATATTTCCTTGAGAAAACTATTTCAGTTTCTACCCAGTGTTTAACCTCTGCCCTACTCAACGTTTTGAATTCCAGTTCCCTAATTTCAATATGTTCAATGTACATTCAGGGTAGTGATATCACCACTCTTAATTTATTAAACTTTAAATTAATATGTTAATAAAGTCATCCATACACAAATATATGGAATATTTCTCCCTCTCTAAGCCTCGCTTATTTTTCTAAGCAGACATGAAGATATGGATTGATTCAGAACTGACATAGTTCACATAAAGATTTCAAGTCTTTAGTCTTTCTTTTTCTGTGTAATAACAACATACATGTTTACTGATAAATATTATGCATATTTGGCAAAGAACGTTTTATATTAGATTTGAAAAAAGTTCCGATCATTCTGTGGTAGCTTTTCTCCTACATAGAAGTAGAAAATGCCAGACATTGCTTTTTAAAAATAAGCACTAAGAAAACTAATAAACTGATTAGTCACAAAGGGAACATTATAGGAAAGGAAATAGCTTGGGAGTGAACCCTATGATTTTATTGTTTTCACAGAAAATGCAATAACTCCTCATTGACATCAACTACCCAGTTGCAAGAAGAGTGTACCTTCTGCTTTGGTGAGACACAGATGAAGCAATTAGTAAAAAGTAGTCATCAACCAAGAAGCAAATTAATTTGGGGTAAAATTTTTCCAGTTTAAATGTCTGTTGATTGGCCCTGATCTTTGAAAGGCACATTAAAAAAAAAAAAGTATTGTGGTAAATAATATGCATTCACAAGAATACTTGGAAATCAGTCTATAAAAATCAGATTATTCCATCACCATCTTTCAAATCACTAATCAGAGCAAAGAAAAATCGATCATGAAAAACAACACAGTCAGGTTCATACAGTCTTTATAACTAAATGAATTAATTGTTCTTCAAGTTACACATTTTATTGACATATGTTTATTATAAAGTTTTTAAAATAAAAATGCATGTTTGGTGAAAAGTTAATACAGTTGTAATTTGTATTTCATCATATTTTAAAATACAAAAGAATGGAATTGTTTTTACTCTATTACATGATGTAACTGACTAGCTGGGTTGTAATTCTCAATGTTATAATTATCAAAATTCATTGCCATGCCGAAGTCAATTCTGCGTTATGTGTGCAATGAAATACCTCTTTAGTTTAGCCTATTGCATGACATTGTGGTGCACCATGCATCTTTCAAATCTCTTTAAGAAAAATTAATGACAGGCCAAACTTGTGACAAAGTACTGTGAATAACATTGAAGGAAGAAACATTTTAAACAGGGGTATATTATGATTTGTGGTGGAATTAAAAAACACGTAGCAGGAAAAAGAAAAAAAAAAAAAGAGTGAACCTAGGTATATATATAATGTACTTAAAGAGAGGACTCCGATTTTTTAAATGGTCCAAATAAAAATTACATTATTTTTAAATACTGCATAGTCAGTGAGCATTTGATGTAAACCTTACAAATATGGTTGGGTGTTTTTTTTTTCACTTTAGGGTTTGTTGAAAAGTAGTAACATTAGGCATTGTTTGGCACTTCTGGCAATGTTAGTGACTTCAGTGAATTTCATTATATATATGATGCATTTCACATATCACTACAAAGAAATGCTGCCAATTGCAGTTAAAATGGGCCCAATTGCAGAGATGTTAATATGGAGAGAGACAAGCATTCTTGAACTCATGAAATAGAATAATACTCCAAATTAAAATTGGGATCAATTACTGGCAATAAGAGATTACATGGTATATTCTTTCTTCCAGAACATTAAAAACTCCATTGCCTGGTGCCTCTCTATAAAAGAACAAAAAATATTGGCATCAATTACACTTTAAATATGTTATCAAAATGGAAAAGGAAAAATATGTTGGTGAGTCCAGTTCATAATAAATACAAAAAGTATTAGGAAAAGGAAGGCAGTTGCTAAATGGGTGTTTTAAAAGTTTCATTATTTTTACTAACATTAAAGAAGAGGTTACTTAACAAAATTTACATTTCACTTGTTCCAGTCTTTTAAAATTTCTGCATTTTATCCATGTACTTTCAATTAAAGCAACTGAACATTTGATCTGTAGTGAAAAATGTTGATTCAAATTGTTTGTTGGTTTACGTGAATGATCCAGAACCCATTTGAGATATACATTTTATTACCATCTCAATAAGCCTGATTGCTTTGCACTTCTTCTGATTGCCCCTTTGTTCTTCACATTCATCTGCAATTTTTAAAAAATTTAATCAAAATTAATTTGTGAAGTACCAGCCAGTTCTCATCAACTTCTGAAGCATTGTGTATTCTTACTGTTTGAGACGGTAGGAAAGATTTTAGTATTTTGTAAATGCTTAGTAGTAGGATTGAAACTTTTTCTTACAGTAGTTTCTTTGTGCAGGATTGCTTAGGATAATAGGACATTTGATTGTTTACTGGAAAAGGACACATGTATATTCAAATATTCTGAAAATAGTCTTGTTTTATTTAATTCTTATTTTTTTGCAAAAGCCTCACTCAAATCAATTTAAAGATCAAGGGAGGGAGAGGCAATGAGTTGAGTCTCCTTTTAGATCTCAAACATTTTCATTGCTACTATCATGAACGAGAGTACAGAAAATCAATTAAAAAGGGTAATCTACTGATAAGAGATAGTGGAGAAAAGGGGCTAGTTGCCACAAAATGGAAGTCAAGATGAAGAGAAATTTTGTAAAAAGTAAAAGAAATGCCCCAGATATCGTGTACTTGAATCTCTTTGGTCTGATAAAGTGTTTAGGTTACTGTGAAACTCTGAAAAAATTTTAATATGCCTAATTCATTCAAATAAGTTATGAAACTCATTTGTTTATTATGTTTAATTTAAAGGGCTTGGTTCAGATCAATTCCATCATTACCTAAATATTCAAACTGGTCCCCTTTTGAACTGACTGAAAATAGACATTAAATTCCAGGTTCATATATATTTCATATTTAACCTTCAAAGGTTTAACTGCTTTTTGCATGTATTACAAATATAGGAGAGTGCATTAGGGAGTTCTTATTAAAATTTCTTTCTGCAGACATTAAGGTGTGTGGAACACTGAAGATTTATCCCATGGTAACCAATAAATTGTATAACTAATTTCATTTTAGTGATAAGTGAATATTTCTCAACAAACACACATACTGCTTGTCATACCTTACCTGGAAAGAGGCTTTATTGAACATAAGCTGTAAAATTATATTTTAAGTTGAATTACTGAATTTGCACAAACATTTCTACAGAATTGTTTTAAAAAATCAAGCTTTGTCGTTTTCCACTACATTTTGTTGTGCTTTTTATATTAATACTCGCAAATGTTATAATTTAATACTTATATTCCAATTACTTGCATAAGCAGGTTTTTTTTAATCCTGGGGTGTTGAGAGAACATAAAATAATAATATTCTTCTTAGACAAAAGTCTTTTTAAATGAAGTTAAAAGCTGAGATAATTTAAGGAAAAGGATCTTCAAATTTTCATAACCAACAGGTTTAAGTGAAATTTACAATGCATTGGAAAACTGGCTGGTTAAAGATATGATTTGTCCTCAGGTAGCTCAAAATCATTTTTACAGGTTTTTGTTTTTTTGTAAAAGTGTTTTTTAATCTTGGTATAATAATAAAATAATATTTCACAATTTGCACAGAGTCTGACTAAAGGGCAGAGGCATATTACCCTCAGAGTTTAGAATAAAGCCAGATTTTTCAGGCCCAGTTCCACTGTAGAGTTAGTATGCACTGCAATCCCAAACATTTTCTTGTTCCCTCTAAAGCTAGGGCCAATTTCATTTCAAATGGAGGTTAGAGTAAAAAAAATCACTTTTGTGTTCTACCACCTTCTGCACTAAGTATTCTTAATAACCTTTTGCTCTGGTTGACCCATTTAATAACCTGGAAGAAAAACAGTGTTGCTCCATGTCTGGTCTCAATGGAAGTAATTTTCTAATGGACAATAAGCCGAAAGGCCATGGCTGTCTAGGAGGTTAAACAACAAATATCTTGTCTGCATGGGCTTACGCAGCAGCTTCGGTCCTTTCTTCTTCAGAAGCGGCTTTGTTGTCTTGCCTGTAATTTGCACATTTAGGCTCTGTAGTTTGTTTATAAAATAGTTTTACACAAACCACTCTTAGCAGTGCAAGCTTCTGAGTTGAAAATTATTCAGGCTTGTTTCATTGAAGGCACTTGGTTTCCATGGCAATTTATAAAAGATGGTGGTTTGGTTTCTTCATTGGAACAGATGACGTAGTTTGGGTGTTCAAGTGGCCGCAAGCAAACTCCGATAAGCCTGTGTAATATGTAAGCCCAGGTTTACCATCCTGGATAGTAGTGCATGCAAAAAGAGACAGCATACAGTTATCTAGCTTAGCCATGGGAGAAAAATAATAATAATAAATGTGGGATGGGGATAAGGTGGGGAGAAACATGAATGCTTTAAATAATTCTGAGTTCAGGTTATTTTCAAGGAAGGGTAACAGCCAAAGGTAAAAGGGCCTACGTTTATTTAATTCTCTATGAAAACCTTCTCGAAAGGAAAATAAATGCCAGCTCTTCACATACCCTGTTTACAGTGAGGTTTTTGTTGGCAGGCCATTAGGTTTCCATGGTAACAAGCAAACTATTCATTTGAAACAAAACCAGCCATGACTTTGTGCTTTGACAAGGATTTCTATAGCTCTTTTTTTTTTTTTTTTTTTTTTTTTTTTTTTTTTTTCCAGAGTTCAACCAGATGACGCTGTAATCTTTTTAGCCACAAAAGCACCTGAAGGTCTCTTCTCTACTCAGGTCAAGAATATCTTTTATGTTTAGTTTGGAATAAGTTATACTTCCATGATGTCTTTTTATCCCCAGTGCTTAAAAAAATTTGTTTTTATTATTTTGTTTTTGAGTCAGTAGTCAGTGGAGGAATCTTTGGTAGTTTGTTTGTTCGATGTCCATTTACAAAGACTCTTTCTTCATGCCAGTGCCTGGTGAATCTTTTATAGCCTCTGCCAGGATAAGGTCACCTTCGAGGACTCAAGATAGAGATGAGGACGATAATGGGAAAAAGCCATATATGAACCAAAATCCCAACAGCACCATCAACGGAATCTAAAGATAAGGAAAATAAATGCAAACAAAAAAAAGAAGAATAAGCATTTCACGTAGCTACTAACACAACCTGGGTGAATAATAAAACAAGTATAGGGAAGCTATTTATTTCTATTTTGTTTTGTTTATCAGCTTTATTGCTAAGGGAAGTGAAAAGGAAAATGAATGTATGGTAAGGCACTTGATAAAAAGATTTACAGATTTTAAATTGATATAATATGCTATGAAAACTTGTTCATGAGATATTCACAGAGGTTTGTGGTTGAGCTCAATCTTAGAGAGTTCTGTTAGCCCTAGGAAAGCAGGAACATGGAGAAAATTATCAGAAATCTTCACAAAGTAGATTTTTGTTTTTCAGGCTTCCAGAAGTGGATAAGCTTGAAGACTGAAAGAATATCTTAATGAAAACTAGAAAGAGATGATTATGTGTACCGAAATTAACTATTGCAACTAGTAGATTATCCATGTTTAGATCAGTCCATTATCTATAAATTATACAAATCATTTTCTCTTTAACTTTTAGAGGCATGATGAAGTCCATTCTAACTAAAAAATCCCTTCCACCAATCAGCCTGGAAAGTTCTACTTAATTGGGATTTCTATTAAAACCTGGTGTCCAGGTGTTGCCTCTTAGAGTGCATGCCTCACTGAGGAGGGATAACACAGGTATAATTCATTAACCTAGCTAAAGTTACAAAATGACTTGTATCTAGGGTAGAGTTGAGTTTGACAATGGAGAAATACAATCTTATATCTGGATGGTGTGGACCATAGTTCCATTTATCGCCCGGAAATAATTGGCAGCCTGAGGAATCAGGAAGAGGCTTTCAGCCTTCAGGTTGGTCTGTACTTAGAATATAATATTCATTTAATAATCATCAATCAATCAAATCCTAGTCATCAAAATGAACTTAATAAATGGTAATTAAATGACACAAATGTAACAGTAAACTTTCTGATACCAAATAGATTATTTTTGTTCAATTAAGATTATTTATTTCCCCTAATTTATAAAGAGTTTAAATAAAAATATCCCCAATACATATAAGGGGTATTTTCATATTTAAAACTGCCACACATTTCTTGGACTTGCTAGTTTAAGAGGAAAAAAACTAATTATAAAAATGTTCTATTGTAATAGAACTTGTACAGTAATGAAGTCCCTGTGGGCTTTCACAGGCATTTAACTGTGGCTACTTTTATCAGTGATGCTTTCTTTCTGCACTAGGGAGTAAATAATTTCCTTTGCTTTCCTCCTTTGAAAAGTTTAATTCAACTTATTGAATTTATTTATAAGATTTGTGCTTATATTATGAAAATGTAAAATTTCTGTATATAGTTGTAACTGCCTTTAATTAATAAAATGTTACTGCCACGCAGTCATACTATGAAATTCAAAAGAAATACTATTATCCTTTGAGGAGAATACATGTTTTCCTGTGCATTAGAAAAACTGTTCTTTTGAGTATAGCCACTGGTTTTCTAAAGCAGAACTAGACAGACACAAGGATAAATTTTTACTAAATATCTTATTTGAAATACTAAGTTTATGACAAGATACTATGAGCAAAATGGCTCATTGTTATATAAAAATCTTAGTTTTTGTCTTCTGATAATACTTCAGAATTGAGTCAATTCAGTTCATATGAGTAATCAGTGGACAATTGTACACATTTAACTTTGAACATCTAGACTGATATAGTTTCTCACCAAATATAGAAAATTAACAAAGACTCTGATTTGCTCTAGACTTACACAAGATAGATTTTCATGCTTTTGTATGTGCTAAATAATTGATGAGCAATTTGTGTAAATTTAGTTTGATTACTTTCTCTATATATGACCACAAAATAAAAGATTCCAGATGAGTCTAAGATAATCCTTCAATTGCAGTCATTTTTAACAGGAATGATTTTATAGATTTCATAGCTTCAAATGTGAAATACAGAGATGAGGATTTTAAGAAGCAGCTAAACACATAATTCTAAATCTTTGTGCATTATTTATCATGTTTTATTTATATCTCTTCTATTATAAAATGGACCTGTGATGAAAAAATAAAATTAAAGATATCATTAAACTGTCATATTCAAAAGAGGGTATACAGTGAAAATCAAATTACTAAACAAGCTTTTGGTGCAGATAGGAGATTAGACCATATTAGGGCTACTTCATTACTTAATATATGTATTTGGGCTCTTTACAATGCTGAATCTGTTAAAATGGCTGGCAAAAGGCCAGGAGCGGTGGCTCACGCCTGTAATCCCAGCAGTTTGGGAGGCCGAGGCAGGTGGATCACCTGAGGTTGGGAGTTCAAGACCAGCCTGGCCAACGTGGTGAAATCCCGTCTCTACTAAAAATACAAAAAATTAGCAGGGCGTAGTGCCGCGCGCCTGTAATCCCAGCTACTCAGGAGGCTGAGGGAAGAAAATCACTTGAACCCGAGAGGCGGAGATTGCAGAGTGAGCAGAGATTGCACAGTTGCACTCCAGCCTGGGCAATGACAGCAAAACTCCATCTCAAAAAAAAAAAAAAAAATTGGCTAAGTCAGGAAATATATTCACTATATTCACAAACTGGAGGCATAAAAACATCTATGCTGACATAGTAAGGCTTGTGTCCTCACACAAATCTCATCTTGAAATATAATCCCCATAATCCCCACGTTTCAAGGGAGAGACCAGGTGGAGGTAATTGAATGATGGGGGCGGTTCCTCCATACTGTTCTCATGAAAGTAAGTTTTCACTAGATCTGATGATTTTATTATTACTATTATTATTATTATTATTTATTTATGTATTTTGAGACGGAATCTTGCTCTGTCGCCCAGGCTGCAGTGCAGTGATGTGATTTCAGCTGACTGCAAGCTCCGCCTCCCGGGTTCACGCCATTCTCATGCCTCAGACTCCCGAGTAGCTGGGACTACAGGGCACCACGCCTGGCTAATTTTTTTCCTTGTATTTTTTAATAGAGACAGGGTTTCACCGTGTTAGCCAGGATGGTCGCCATCTCCTGACCTCGTGATCCGCCCACCTCGGCCTCCCAAAGTGCTGGGATTACAGGGGTGAGCCACCGCGCCCGGCCAATCTGATGATTTTATAAGGGGCACTTCCCCCTTCTCTCAGCAATTCTCCTTGCCGCCTTGTGAAGAAGGTAGTTTGCTTCCCCTTCACCTTCCGCCATGATTGTGAGTTTCTTTAGGCGTTGACCAGCCTTGCCGAACTGTGAGTCAATTAAATCTCTTTCCTTTATAAATTGCCCAGTCTTGGGCAGTTCTTTATAGCAGTATGAAGATGGACTAATACAATTTACATTATAAGTATGTGCTACGTATACAGGTTCATCAAATATTTTAATAAAAGTTTTAAAATCGTCTAAAACAAATAATGTCAAATAAAGTGTTTTAAAATCTTAAAAATAAAAGTGTACTTGCCTTACACAGATCTAAATCAAAATCTCACTTCTATTTTACCTTAGGCCAAATATGTCTGCAATTGAATTTAATACTTTAAAAATAACTGAAGAAACTTTAGCGTATTAGATATAAGAATTTTTAAATAAACCAACTAAAAATAACTTTTTAAAATTAATTAAATTAAATGTTAATTTAATAGTAATGTTACTTTAACATTACAACAAACCAATCTCAAGCAAAGATACTTACTCTTAGTTGCTAGGTCTTGTTTTGCACATTCTCCTTCGGCAATTGATACATCATCAATAGCAATGTCACCTTCTATTCCAGGACCTCGGATACCTTCAAAAATGAGCTACAAATATGAATGAAACAAACCTAAATGTGGAGCTTTGATTTGCAGATCAATTTCTTTTGAGAAATCAAGGAGACAAAAGTAAACTTGTCAGTAATCCTGGCATCTTTTAGATTTGATGACTTTCAGAATTAAAACGTGCAGAAAACATAAACTTTCATCCCAAAACGGGTAATTTAATCTTCCTTGCATTATATTAGTTTTTCTCATCAAAAGCTCTGTGTCAATTTTAAAGCAAAACTAAATTTAATCAAATAATACAATAAAAAAAAATGACTACACATCCTCTTTTAATTTTTAAGGATAAGAAAACAATGTTTTATTTGAAAAGTCTTTCTCTGACAGATATTTTCTGGTTTTATCTGAACATAACTCATAACATTAGTTTTCTAGAAATACTTTAAAGAATGAATCAATTCTGGATTCTTTACAACAGTAATATGGATATTGAAGCCCAGACCAAAGTTTTTCTATGTCTGACATTGATTTCTCAGAAACAGACTGAATATGTTCGTCATATTCCCATATTGACTTTATAATTTACCTCCATGATTTCACTGCTGATATTCCATTTTTTAAACTTGAAGATATTTATCAGTCTATTTATGTTGAATATCTCATGGTATACCTTTGAATTTATGGTGGCTGTAACAATGGTGGTCACTGAGGCTCAGTGCATGAATATTGAAAGAATAAATGAGTACAATCAGAATCCTTTATTATTAAATACTCAATACAATGACAATAGAAGCACAATTAGCAAATTTATATATATTTTTTATTTTTATAGAAACAATACTCTTAGAATTTTCTTTATGACTCCCAAATTATTCCTTGCTTTCAGGAAAACTTTTTAATCTTTTTGATACTGTAAGGCAATTCATGCATTTAGTGGTGGGTGTGTAGTTCTAGAAAAATATTTACATGTTAAAAGAAAATATCTACTTTGGTCATTCCAAAGAATAATTTTATAAAAAGCTGTTTCTAACATCAATCTGGTAATGTGCATTATTAATAACATTCCTAGACTTATGTCATCACAACAGATTTGGCAATGTTTATTTTTATCAATGTCAAAGTTTTTGTTTTTGTTTTTGTTTGAAAACATCTCCTCAAAGGCAAATCAGAGTCATTTCTGAACTTTTCAAAGCTGCTGTCCTGGGAGAGCCATAGCTTAATTACGATGATTTTGAGAGAACTTAGGCTATTTTTGAGAAATTGATCCAATGGTCTTTGATATGCGCTCATAATTTTATCAAAGGGAATCTCCAGGTAGTAAGCAGAGGGAATCAGTTGTCAACTTTTGTGTTGAGACCCTGTGCTTCACTTAAATGTAGTTCATAAACAAAGAATAATTTTCATGATTTGATAGCAGAGAAAAATGTGAGTTCTTACTGATATATAAATATGATAAATATGGAGTTTCCTGCTTGTCTATGTTAAGATAAGCATGTTCTTAAAGATTCTCCAAAGCCATCTCTTTGAAAAGCATTTAAAATGGTCTGTTTCACTGAAGGCAAAACAAAATGGCAGCTGCTAGCTTGGTTCTACTGTTTTATGTATTACGCTTGTTCCTTCGAATGATAAAAGGTTTTGTAGCTACCATGGTTCATCAGAAAACTTCAGCACAAGTGTATTACATAAAATACTATAACCAAGTTAGCAGCTTAGCAAATTCTCAGTCCTCAGATAGAAGTATTATTGTGGCTGCTTGGAATTGATGACTTCCATTTGAGATAGGATGGTGTCTGGAAAGGTAACTGGGAAGTGGCTTTAAAAAGTCTCAGAAGACTTTTAAACAGTCCTTTATTTGAAAGGTCTATGAGAAAGAATTTAGAAAAAAAATGAAAAGTATAAACATTTGAGAGAATTGAATATGGAGAAAGGGAAGTCATTTTAAGGTGCAGGATAGTCCACATTATGGATATAATTTATTTAAACAGTACCCTATAGTCATTGTTAGACATTAGAACTATTATCTCCTATTATGAACAAGGCTGAGGTGACTACATTTCAAGCACATTGTTGTTTAAGGTCTATAAAGTGCCCCTATGAGCAAACTACCTGTGAGAAAATATTTCCATTTTTCCAAAAGGTGGGTTTTTAAGTCTTGGGGTATATTTTCCCTCTTTGATATGTGTCCCTTACCTGATAGAGAGTCAATGTTAGAGTAAATCAATAGTTACCATTAAATACTGTTTGTAGAGTGCAATACAGGTTTTACAATGTAGCCATAGCAAAGATAAGGGGTTTGCATTCCCATGTGCTTTATGTGAGCAAGTGAGATGTGGTGAAGAGTCTAATAAAGGTGGGTTAAAATGCTCTGCACCTGCTCGCACTTGAAATTTACACAGATGAAGCTGAAGTCAAAATCCTTTTATTAGGAAGGATGTTTGAAAAACATCCCTGTGTCTGTATCACTGAAGCCAAAACAAAATGGCAGTACATGGATTTCCCATCTTAGCTATGTAAAGGTAAAAAGTTTGAAGAAAATACGTACGCTTTTTCTTATTCAAAGTACATAATTGCTTTTACTTAGTAAGTTCTTGTTAATTCCAGGTAGGAGTCATATAAAATGGTGAGATTTCTTTAAAAATCAAAACTAAAACATACATGTCATCAAAGTCACTTCTGAATTTTTCAAAGCTGCTGTCCTGGGAAAGTCATAGTTTAATTACAATGATCGTGCCATTACTCAAAGCATTTCAATGCTGCTTCTGCTACTGCCTTTAAAGGATTAAACAATTCTCCTTTTTCTGTTACTTTGCTTTTTCATCCTGTCTTCCTGCCTCCCTGTGTAGCTTGATCAAAATCAAAAGGTTGGACCTAGGCTTGTGCTAAAAAAAAAAAAAAGTCCAAGAGCAGTGAAATTGCGAAAGACAGACCCTTTTGTAGTCAGATTGAGAGAATGTGTCAGAAACCATCTGTAGTAAACATCAGGAAGCAGATTGACTAATGTAATTTAATATGTGTGCCACCTACCTACTGGCAATATGTTGACTATAAGTTTGTGTTCTGCTGAAGAGCAAAAGTAGAAATCAACAAAAATCAAAGCGTCATGTGTCCACAGGGCTTCGTATACCTACAACATTACCTTATGTGAATATTTCATCCCTTGGTGATACCGAACGAATGAAGTGGTACAGTAAAAAAAAGTAGGCTGATTTGCAAATATATTATTTACATTTACATTTACAATTATTGATATTACATTTTGTCACTGATAAAGCAACGTAATTTCTTTAAGTATAGCAGGAATTTTAGACATTGTGTGTAAATAAATCTAATTAGTGGTTATTTATTGGAATGATTAAAATAATTTCTAGGAATAAAACTCTTAGTACAGTCATAATTTATATTTTTAATATTTATTTGTAATCTTGTGATGATGAATCTATTTTAATAGGCCAGAGAAATACTTGCAGTCTTCCACAGGGTCCTTTTTGAACAGAAAGAAAAAGGTCCTGTGTAGCATGTTTGTTTCCTTTTGATTTCCACAGTTGTGCTATTAGGAAAATATAGATTAGTTTTTAACTGGTTGAATTTCACAAAGAAATTTTTTTTTTTTTTGAGACGGAGTCTCGCTCTGGCGCCCAGGCTGGAATGCCGTGGCCGGATCTCAGCTCACTGCAAGCTCCGCCTCCCCGGGTTTACGCTGTTCTCCTGCCTCAGCCTTCCGAGTAGCTGGGACTACAGGCGCCCGCCACCTCGCCCGGCTAGTTTTTTTTTTTGTATTTTTTAGTAGAGACGGGGTTTCACCGTGTTAGCCAGGATGGTCTTGATTCCTGACCTTGTGATCCGCCCGTCTCGGCCTCCCAAAGTGCTGGGATTACAGGCTTGAGCCACCGCGCCCGGCCACAAAGAAATATTTATTGCATTGTTTTATTTATGCTCTGAGCTCTTGACTACAATTAATTTCTGAATTATTGTAATTAAATTTTTTAGATTCAAACAGATTCATAAATGACTCCTAGACTAAGATCTAGAGAGAGCATGTTTACCTTGACATTGTTTTTGTGTGAGTTAGATTAGACAAATATAAAGTGTAGATATTAAATTTAAATGATGTGCCTTAGCCAAACTTTTAAGCATTTGTAAAAATAAATCTTTGCTTGGCATTTTCTGGAATATAAAGATGAGAAATTATAAGTCCATTAAAATATGATGTGTTTAGCCATAGAAGATGTGATCTTTACACAACAACAAAAAATATTAATTATATTTATTTTGAGAATTAAGACTCTAGTTTAAAAAGTTAAATTGTCATATTTTTATGACTTTCCATCATTATTTTGACTACTATTACATTACAGAGATAAAACCATTTTCATTTCCTCTTCAGTACTTCTGAAATGCATTTGGTTTAACTGACTTGAAGAAGGAATTAACAGCATCTAGGTACCCATGGAGAAAATGTTAAGGTTTAGGTCTCCTAAAAGAGGGATAAAATTATGCAAAACCCATTCCTCTCACACAATAGCAATGTTATTTAAAATTATTTCCCTTAATTGAAATGACGAGTTTAAAATTGAAATGTTTTCACAGTGTGTTCATGCAACTCAGCAAACTTAACATATAAAAAATACTGCATAATCAGAAAATTAACTTTTAGTAAGTAAATTCAAATGGGAATTTTAAAATTAATGTGGATTTCTGTATTAGAATTATACCTCACAAAATTGTTTCAATTCATCAATTGACAGTTTCTTACACACATTATAATGCTTCAAAGCATATAAATATAGATGTCAAAATAAAAATATAGATGATGCTATGAAAGTGTGTGTTCAAATGTAATTTCTCAGCAAGAAAAGAAGAGCTACATGAATCACTAATGAGTAAAAGTAGATGGGGGAATTAAATAATACAATGCACTTCTGATGATTTGCCTTCATTTTTAATGGTGACTTTTGCAAATATTTATAACACAGTTTCTTCCTGACAAAAGGCAAATCATTTCTAATCATTACTGCTAAGGCAAATGCAAAATCCTAAGACTGCAGTTTGAAAACCGACAGTACATATCACTTTGAAAAACTTCAGGATATAAATATATTTTAAAATAACCATTAGCATTAATAATATTATCTTTATTTTATTACTGGTTTAGCAAATAATTGAACTATCCTCAACCATTACAAAACAAATTTGAAGAGAGACAACATAATAGACCTAGTGGGTAGCCTTGGCTTTTTCCCTGGGGAAACCATCTCAAATCAGAACGGTGAGTTTAACTTCACAGTGCTCTGCCAGTTCAACTTGTGGGACAAATGTCAATTAGCTGTCAGAATTTCTAATGTTAAATAATAACATGAAAGTCGACTGTTGGGAAAGACAAAGAAATTCATCAAGTTGTGAGCTGCAATTGGTAAATGTTTTTAATGGTTAAGTCAGGAGTCACCATTGTGTCCATATAATTGCCCTGTAATGTGGCTTAGAATGCCAGATATGCTACATGAGCATGTAATGTCTGCTAATGAGGACAATATTTTCTAGCTTATTTTTATTCTTAGTTGGAACATAGGGCAGAATGATGTAAGGAGAGCAGTATAGTCTCTTTTCCAGTCCCTGTTACAGTGTTAAGCATTTCTACCTTTATTTTCTCAAAAATTATGTCAAAACCTATTTCTAAGTCTTGAAATGAATAAGTAAGAGCAGGAGATTTCCAGAATCCCTTTCACTTAAACTAAGAAAATGTAAGGAGCATTTTGTGTTTTATAATCTATTTATATACTTTACCCCTGGAAAACATTTGGAATGTACTATGAAAGAAGTAAAACATTAAAAGGGGATGGTTAAATATTTTCCTTGGTATGGGATGTAAAATTAATTGACATTATAAGAATATATCCATTTTGTTTCTTTGGAATTGTTGCCCTAATTTTTCCAAATGTAGCAAAATATATTTTCATCCCAAGCACTGATCATGCTAAGTTAATTCTAGTAAATGAACCCAACATAAATTTCAATAGAATAAAACTTCTACTTGTCTTGAAAAGTACTAAACAATAATTGTATTTTCAACTATGCAAACTAATTGGACCCACTCAAACAAAGGACTGTCCAAGTAATTTTGTAAAGGATTTATGGATCAAATTAATTTAAAGTCATGCAACTCAAAACAAATAAAACAGCATAAATGTTAGTGAAAGAGACTCAAAGTCACTTATATTCCATTTAAAATTTCAAGAGGTAAAAGTTTTGCCTTCCACTTGAAGTAAATACATCCTCAAATGCCAGAAAGTTACATTTGAGTAATATTAAAGCTTCTTACAACTTAATTTATATGGTAATATATTGGTATCATTGTTGTTATCAGGAGTTCCTAGAAGATGTTACACACCAAAAAAAGTATTTTTGAGAAGCTTGACAAGTTATAAAAGATTTTTGGGTAAAAAAAATACTTTGTATAAAAAATTCAAAACAAATCTTCTCTAAAATGAAATAAGACAAAAACAACAAAAGCGGCATGGGATTATTTAGTTGTGTTTCATGTTTCCTTGAACAATCAAGATTAATGAAATAGAGTCCTTAGCCAATAGACCTAGAAATATGTTGGGAAATGAAAGAGCATAGATCAAAATAAAAAGATGATTTTATCTATCTTTATTTTCCGTTGGTAATTTAAATAGCTTAAAAATGCATCAATTCAAACTATTTACAAATACAAATTTTTCCATTTGTTTCCAAGAAAAATAGAGTAACAGGAACAAGAGCTATCTTTCTACTTTAAATAACCAAATAACTGGGCCAAGAATATGAAACCACAGTGTTAAGGATACTAGATATCAGATAATGAAGACGTGTGTTCCCTGGGAAATGGGAGTCAAATAAGGTGAATTCTGTTGACCAATACAAAGTTTATAGGCCATGGTGCAAGTAGAGGAAAGGAAGTTGAAACCTGGTAGAAAATCTGAGTTGAGGAGATGAGAGTTCCAAAAAACAAAGGAAGCTGGAATGTTCAGGGCAGAATACCAGAGAAAAACAGTGGCAGAGAAAAAGAGAGAGAGAAACAGAGCACTGCAGAGAGTCCCCCTTGAGTATTCAGCAGAATACTGATCAGGACATGAAATGAGGAATCTACCCAATACTTGGGAAAGAACCAGAGGGATGAATTTGAGTTAACAGTGCCCAGCCTTCACAGGACTGGGAATGGTGACTGCTCCCATCCACCACATGGAAAAATTTCGTAATACATGGGACATTTGGTGGAGGATTCAGAATAGTCTTGCCTCCATCATGAGAAATAATTAGCCCTATATCAAACATTACTCTAGTCTCGCCTAACAAATCTTAAAAGCAACACCTAAAATAATGAAACTGTTTTGAAGTGACTTAACTATCTTCCCTGAAAAAGCTCAAGAATATTTATAAGAATACAAAAATATGCAGCACCTATCAAGGTAACAGTCCCAATGTCTGGTACCCAGTCAAAGTACCAGACTTGTAAACAAATAACGAAAACAATGATCCATTATGAGAAGAAAAATCAATCAACTGAAACCAACCAAGAACTTACATAGATGTTGGCAATAGCAGATAATTTAAAATAGTTATGATAACTGGATTTCATACATTTAAAATATTAACTAAAGACATACACATATTTTCTAAAAAGATTCAAATTGAACTTACAGAGATGAAAAATCCAATGACTTAGATGAAAACTACACCGAATAAAACTAAAAGTAAATTAGACATTGCAGAAGAAACTATTGTTGAATGTGAAGACAGAATAAAAACTATCACAAATTAAACATAAATAGAAAAAAATGAAAATGTCTTAATGAGTTATGTGACACTTTTAAGCAATTTTATCTATGTGTGATTGAAATCTTCAAAGGAGAGGAGGACTAGCAGAAGTATCTGAAGAAACATTAGTGAGAAAAACCTCAAATTTTATGAAAACTATAAATCCACAGATTCAAGAAATTTAATGAACATGAAGCACATATAGAAGGAAGAAAAATATATCAAAGCACATCACAATACAATTTATAAAACTGAATGATAAGGAAAATCTTAAAAGCAACCAGAGAAAAAAGTCACATTACATACAGAAGAATACATTTAAGGCTATCCACAGATTTATTCCTGGAAACAATGCAAACAAGAATATGGTACAATATCTGAAAAGTTCTTAAAAACAACAACAACAACAACAACAAAAACAAGGATGCTTAATCAGAGGAAACTTTCAAAAAATGTGTGGTATATTATGATCTTGGTATTTTTGTTTATTGTGAACTTTGCTGGAATTTTGTGTTGGAGAGGCAGTCATGTGGGAAGTGAAAGTATATCTAGAATAATATCAACTTTAGAAAAAATTTTGCTTTTTAATGACAATATCAGTATATACATTTTAATATTAAGGTTACTTCTGTCAGTAATACTTTGGAATCCTGTCTTCACAGTTTAATTTAGGTTGGTGATATGTTGTCATTCATTTTCACAACTGTATTGTTCTTCATAGAAACAAAATGATTCTTTTATTTTTCAGAATCATATGGGAATAAATCTTTTATATATCTGTAGATAATTGGCTAGTCTTACTCTCTGATTCTTTATCATTGTGAATGACTATGTATTTTTATCATCCTGGTTTGATTTAGAAGTGCAATCTCCAAAGCAATTAGAATTTATAGATTAGATTACAAGAAAAGGTCATTCCACCAATTAAAAATTGGCACGATTTTCTATACCCTTACAACATATGCCATGAAATGCATCCAAAAAAAACACTAGTAGAAGAAACATTCAATGCTATAAATACAGTGTCATGAAATAGATTTGAATTCTTTTGAAATAAGGCATAGAGCTGCAGAAGATGTATGTCATAGACTTTGAAGATACTTTACCATATTTTTAAAATATAAAAATATTTGGATATGTAGATATATATTTATATATGTATATATGTTTATACACATTAAAATAATTAAAAACTGTATTAACTCCATTGAAATAGCTTAATCATCTGTTGTCTCTAGTTATAATGGCCAGTGTTGCAGTCTTTGCAATTTCTATATTTTTACTGGTAACTCTCTTAGCTAACTCTTTAAGTTTTAGTTCCTTTCTATATAGAAACAAAGAAAAATAAAGTCATCTTAATTTTAATAATCAGTGATCAATTACTGATATGGCGAAGTTCTTGCTATGAGTACATAAAATTTCATCAAGAAAAATTCAGATTGAGAATTGATTACCAAGTTCCATTATTATAGAAACTTATATATATATATATATATATATTTTTTTTTCAGGGAGTAAAATATAAGCATGTGGTTTTATAGAAATGGATTACATTTTTTCCAGGCAAATCATTTAAATTTTGATAAGCTATTATTCAAACCAATTACTTGATGAGTATTAAAGAATAAAGGAAAAGCGCATTTATATTTATAAAGCAGCTTTTAGAACTAAAGCAAAACTTAATCATATAATTTTTGTGATGCTTATATCATGGGATTTCTGAATATTCATATTTTAATATTTCCTCAAGATCTACTTTTAGTGTTATGCTCATTTACAGCAATTAATTAGCCAAAATTACTATTCTTACCTGAAATGAAGTAATTGGGTATATATTAACATGAGCCTCATTCCATCTTTGTCCTTTATTCCCACTTGAAGACCACAGTGGATTCTCTATTGTTGTTTGCCCTTTCAAACGTAGATAAACATTTAAGACGCCTAAAAATGACAATAAAATTTTATTTTGCATAGTCATTTTCAACTCAAATTTGTTTTTCCTTGACCAAATACTCGTAAACTTTTTAAACTGAAATTTTACAGAACACTCTAGTGTCTTGCCCTCTCTTCTCCTCTCATTTCCTATTTTGCTCTTATGACATTTGACATTTGATCCAAAAGTAACCATGTCCTAATTCCCTAGAACATGTGAATGTTGCCTGATACTGCAAAAGGGATTTAAGGATTTTGCAATGGGGAGATTATTCTAGATTATTAGGGTGAGTCCTAAATGCAATTACATATAGCTTTATAAAACAGAGGGAGATTTGATATAGGAAAGAAGGCCATGAGAGAGAAAGAGATGTTACATGGCTGGTTTCGAAGATCGAGGAGGGGGCCACAAGGACTACTGGCAGCTAGTAAAGACAGAGGAAAGGGCTTCTCTCCTGGAGCTTCAGAAGAAGCCAGCTCTGATGACATCTTGATTTTAGGCCCAGAATGCTTTCTGTAGATTTCTATATTCAAGAATAAGATAATAAATTTGTGTTGTTTTAGGTCATGAAGTTGGTGATCATTTATTTGTTACAGTAGCAAGAGGAAATGAATATAGCATGTAATCATGTACTGACTAACTTGCTCGGAGTTGGACTCTAATTCTGTCGTCTTATATTATCATTTAGAATCTTATTTTTTCAGTTTGATTTTTACCCGTCTCATTTTTCTTCTAAAATAGTTATTGGAATATAAAATGAAGATAGCTTTTATCTCATCATTTGATATCTCTTTCAACAGTTTAATGTGCTGTACACAGTAATGATATTAATGATGATAATGATATTAATACAATAAATATATTTTGAACACTTACTCCAGATGAGGAATTAATCCTCTCAACAATCCTGTGAAGTATTTATTATTATTATCCCCACATTATAGATGAGAAAACTTAGAGGGGTTAAACAATTTGCTCTATGTCATACAGTAAGAACATAGCACAAGCAGGATTTGAACTCAGGGAGTTTCAGAGTCTTACATCTTAATCACTAGGCAATCAATATTTTAATAGATAATTTTAAAAATCAACTTTATTGAGGTAAAATTTACATGCAATAAAATTCATTCATTACTATGTGTATAGGCCAATAATCTTAGACTAATGTCTACTACAGTGTAAGTACTTGATCAAGATACAATCAATGTATCTTGATCAATGTTCAAGATACAGAACATTTCCATTTCCTCAAACAATTCTCTCACTTTCCTCTGTAGTTTATCTTCCCAGCCACCCTACCTTTGCTAGATAACTAGTGATCAGGCTTCTATCACTAATTAATGATTTCTTTTATAGAGTGTCATATTAATGGAATTAGGCAGTATATAATTTTTGTGTGTTTGGTGACTTTCCCTCAGTGTAATACTGATGATATTTATGTCATTGTTTTATTAGTCATTTTAAATTCAATGCTTAGTTTACTTATGTTTAATGTACTTTATTGATGTGTTTATACTTAAATACACCATCTTGTTGGTTTGCATTTCTGTCTTCTGTTTTTCCTTCTCCCTATCCCCTTCCATTCCTTTTTTCCAGGAACAGATTTTTTTCAGGATTTATAAAAAAATAAAAGATTTCAATTTATGTAGTCTACTGACTTCTTAACTATATCTCCTTTTACTATGCATTAGTGATTATTTTAGAGTTAACAAGATATAACTTTTCAGAGTCTAATTAGAGTCAATATTTTACTTCTTCATACTTACAAATCGTAATTCAAACTTCCTTCACATGTTCCACTATTACCTTATCCTATTCACTTCAGATTCTATATCTCCACAAATGTAACAACCTTACACAACATATAATTCATTTATCTGCCTCATTTCTTTACTCAAATATATTTTACTTTTGTTTACATTGTAAACCTCACCTTACGGTACTATTTTTAAGAGCCAGATATGAATATATTTTCTATAAATTATAAGAAGAAAGGAAATATGGCATTTCAGTTTCCACTTATTCCCATTTCTGGTGGTTTACATTTCTACCTGTAGATCTGAGTTGCAATCTGGCACCCACGGCCCAGAAGGCATCCCTTAGCAGTTTTTTGCAGTGATGAGCTTCTAGGGACAACATTTCTCTGATTCCTTTAGGTAAAAATATTGTCATTTCTCTCATATTGCTCGTGAGGTATAGATGGCAGGGTTTTTTTTTTTTTTTCCAGCATATTAAAGGTGTTCCATTATCTTCTGCGTGCTATTTCTGATGTGAACTAAACCATCATTCATTTTTGTCTGTCTTGTACATAGTATGCTTTTCTTTCTCTCTCAGGCCACTTTGGAGAATTTCCCTTTGTCTTTGGTTTGCAGTAGTTGATTGTGATGAATGTAAATATGGTTTTCTTTAGATTCATCTTGCTCAGGGTTATGCTGAGTTTCTTCTAAGTCTTTTCCATTAATTCTTTTACAAATTTGTTTTATTTAATCTTACTCTTTTTTTAAGAGATGGGGTCTTGCTCTGTCACCCAGACTGGTGTGCAGTGGTGCCATCGCACCTCACTGCAGCCTCAAACTCCTGGGCTCAAGGGATCTTCCCACCTCAGCTTCCAAAGTAGCTCATACTACAGGGGCACCCCAACATGCCTAGCTTTTTTTTTTTTTTATTTAATGAATGGAGTCTCTCCATCTTACTCAGGTAGATCTCCAACTGAGTTCAACCAATCCTTCTGCCTTGGCTTCCCAAAGTGTTTGGGATTACAGATGTGAGTTACCATGCCTGGCCCCATTATTTCTAACAATATTTTCTGCCACGTGTCTCTTTCCTCTCTTTTGCACAACTGACTTATATATAAGTCAATTACATATATAATATATATATTTAAGTTCTTATATATATAATGTAACTTGATATTCTTGTATAGGTCATTATGGCTCTGTTTATTTTTCTTCAATATTTTCCCCTATTTTCTCAGATTAGAAAATTTTCCTTGTCTTCAAGTTCATTGAGTTTTTTTTCTGTCATCTCCAGTCTTCTGTTAAGCCCATCCAGTAAATTTTTTTGTTTATTGTACTTTGTAGTATAATTCTTATTTAGTCCTTTTGTATAGTTTCTTTCTCTGCTGAACTTCTTTATCCATTCACTCATTTTATTTCCTTTGATTCTTTCAGCACATTCTCTTATTTCATTGAACACATTTATAATATCTTTTTTTTTTTTTTTGAGACAGATTCTCTCTCTGTCGCCCAGGCTGGAGTGCAGTGGCGCGATCTCGATCTTGGCTCACTGCAAGCTCTGCCTCCCGGGTTCACGCCATTCTCCTGCCTCAGCTTCCCAAGTAGCTGGGACTACAGGTGCCAGCTACCACACCCGGCTAATTTTTTGTATTTTTAGTAGAGACGGGGTTTCACCGTGTTAGCCAGAATGGTCTCCATCTCCTGACCTTGTGATCCACCTGCCTCTGCCTCCCAAAGTGCTGGGATTACAGGCGTGAACCACCGCGCCCGGCCTATAATACCTTCTTTAAAGCCTCTATCTGCTAAGTCCAAAGTTTAACTTTCTTAACTTTGGTTTCCACGAACTGATGTTCACTTTTTATGGCTATGAATCATATTTTCTATTTATTTGTATATCTAGTGACTTTCAGTGAGTTATGGGCATTGTAGATAGATCATTATAGAGACTCTTCAGCTGTAATGTTTCTCAGAAGGCTATTGGCTCTTGTTATAGCACATTGTTCAGTTATAAATTGACCATGCTGAACTTGTATAGGCTTGGTTTTCCACTACTAATGCAGATCTGTGAAAACCCAAAATTGTTGCCCTAAATTCTCTAACTTTATGGGACTCAATCTCCAAATCTGTCTTACCCATGAATCTTATTGGGGCTTGCATTTAGGCGTTTTTAGAGAATGTCTAGAGAAGGCCTTTCTCCCAGGTATGATTCTAGCCTTTCTGGTTTCATCGTGCTGCCAGGGATTTTATGAGATCTCTACACTCTCATCAAGTTTCATGGCTGAGACTTCAATATTGCATGCTGCTCTCCTCTCAGGTCTCCTTGCACTCCCCATCTTTGTTGTGCTGCCAGTCTCACAAAGGTTGCTATAAGTCTTGGTTTTTCTAGTCTTCTACATGTACAGTCTAGCCTTCAGCAAATACTCCTGAGGGAACCCCGTACAGACTTCTGGATTCAACCCTGCACATCTCTTTTCTTTCTGTTGTCCTGACCCACAGATTCCAATGACATCAATTGTACAGTACGCTAACCTTTGTTCCCTGACTGAGTGGGATCTTCACATTCTGCTTGAATTTCTGGGATCTGTGGCAAGTTCAGGAAATTGTCCTTAGGCAGAGAGCTTGACTGTCATGGAGATCATTTCATTAGTTTCTCTTTTCTCATCCATTGCAGTCTTACCCTGTTTTTTGGTCTATTCTCTAAAAAATGGTTTCTAACATAATTTGCCCATTTTTATGCTTGTTTAGGGCAATAGGACTTATCTGATATCATTTATTACTCCTTGGCTTTAAGACGATCTCATTTTGATAACAGATAATTATATAAATTATTAGTAATATGTTAATATATACACTTCACAATAGACATATAAAATTTCCACATAATGTAGTATATAGACTTATTTATGTGAATATTGTACATAAATTCTAATGAACAGAAAAGACAATATAACATTATCATTAAATGAAATCACTCAGAGGGTAGCCTTCTTAACATTTTGTTGTATGTTGCTTTAGCTTTTAAAGCAATGTATCGTTATATGTATCGTTATATGATATAGTTTATTCTTCCAATTTTTAGAGAAATTTTCTTTAATTCTTTACACATAAGACTATATGTATGCATATAATAGACGTATATAAATATGGGTATCCACTTTTTAAGCAAAAACTGCATTCTTTATATCACAGCTGGATGACTCTGTCTTCATATCTAAATCTCTAATTCCCTCAACTTCCTCATTAGGCAAATGATAACTAAATGATGATAACTA